TCTCTAGATCTATATTCTGAGTCTGGGAAATGTTTCATAATATTTGCATTCTTTTGACTGATTAATGGTCAACAGTTCATCGTTTCCAAATCATGTTTTCCCGGAGTAAAAACTGAGTCCATAAGATTGAGATTTCCTTAGTTTACACAACAAAATTTGTTTAATTTGATCAGTTAAATATTGAGTGGGCCAAATATTAGGTCCATTTCATTTCCTAAATACCATCTGATCATCATAGTCGTCGTCCATGACCATAACCGCAACTTCAGAAATTTCCGAGTCATCAGTGTTTCCGCCATCTAGTGTGGTGATGGTAATACTAAACAATGTCAGAATACGTAGACACAATAGAATTGATATCATTTGAATGGTGAATTACTTATCTTGTATATATTATCGACTTCCCTATAGAATGAAAATGTTGTCAATTTTCACTCACACATAAGTCTGGGTCCATTTGACCCGATAAATATTAATAGATCGGCTCTGATTGGCTTTGACCACGGATGCGAATCTGCACTTGGAATGTGCGCACGTTGAACAAAACAGGCGCAATTTTCGCTTTGGCGGGCGTACTCAAGAAGTGCAAAGAGATGGAAAGGGAGTGGCGTAAGTAAATCAGAACATTACGCCCTGTATTATAGCTGCCATGAAACGAAACATGAATTTGGCTGCGGATTTAAGGTTAAGAGGAGAATAAAATACCTCTTCTCCAGATTCACTCCAGTAGATGAGAAAATTGCTATAATCCGTATAAAAGTGAAGTTCCTCTACATCAGTCTAATTTGCGCCCAAGCTCCGACCGAAGACAAAGATGAACAGACCAAAGACATATTTTACGAGCGCATAAAAACAGCATATGACCGCTGCCCTGGCCATGACATTAAAATTCTGCTCACCTAGCTAAGATGAGGTCAGAATAGCAATCAATCGGCTGAAGAATAATAAAGCAGCAGGTACCGATGGGTTAACAGCCGAACTTTTCATCTTCCGGGCATAAAAAAGGAGACAAGACGATATGTGCCAATTATAGAGGAATAAGTCTCCTTCCCATCGCATATAAAGTGGTATCCAGCGTGCTGTGTGAACGACTGAAGCCTATGGTCAATGACATTATTGGACCATACCATGCGGCTTTAGACCTGACAAATCCACCATTGACCAGATGTTTACTCTGCGCCAAATCCTGTAAAAGACCCACGAAAAACACATCTACACATTCCACCTATTCGTCGATAAATATAAAGCCGAATTCGACAGCCCTGTCTGTTCAGAGGTGTATAAAGCCATGTCTGCGTTTAGCATTCCAGCAAAATTAATACGGCTATGCAGGATAACTTTAACGGGCACAAGATCAGCAGTTGAAGTCGGAAAGAACCTCTCGGAGCCCTTTAACACTAGAAAGACTGGAATTTTGTCGGCCAAAATGACCTCATTCTGAAAGAATTTGTATTGTGTAAAGAAATTTTTTTAAACTTACAGCCTGTTTTTGTATTTCGAAAGAAAGGTTTCTTTCGCTTTCAATGCGAATTTTGGTTTATATAAAAACTTTTTACAGGCAAAAGAAGTCGAACAATAAGCAACTCGAAAGAACCCGTAAACGTATACTTTTTCCCTAAAAATTGAGTTTATGTATGACGAAAAAACTGTCCTCATTCGAACGAGAATGTCAAATTCACTCACTTGCTTTATAGCTATCGAATCAATTGCAAAATCGCGAACTATGTATCAAAATTTCAAGAACTTTCACACAACACAGTCTCTAAACAAAATAAAAATTTTTGGAACTTGTTTTATAGGTATCGTTTGGGTTTTTATACCCTACACAACTATGTTGTCAGGGTATTATAGCTTTGTGCAGCCCCAAAAGTTTGTAACGCCGCGAAATATTGGTCCTAGACCCACCTTTAAGTATACCGATCGTCATATCTCGACTAGCTGAGTCGATCTAGACATGTGTGTCCGTCCGTCCGTCTGTCCATTATAATTTGTAAACACGATACAGGCCACAGTTATGGACCAATCTTCACGAAATTTTGCATATAGGATGGTTTCTGGCCAATGAAGACCCCTATTGTTTTTGGAAAAGATCGCTTAATATTTAGGGGATGAAATGGACCAAAAACTTTATTTTTGTCTGTTTTTCTGGTCGCTCCAGAGGCCGCAATTATGGCCCAAACACCGCGAATTTTTGCATAGAGAACGGGATCGGACCAAAGAATAAGCATGCCTGTTTTGATAAAGATCGGTCAATATTTAGCGGGTGAAATGGACCCGAACATTTGTGTGAAAAATGCCAAAATTTGTATTCTATGGCGTATATATTTACCACTGAAGGACATAGACCCGAGAAGTTGATAGTATATCCAAGAGCAGTGGTTGACCTTTAAATTGATACCAATTATATGGTCGTAGGTACTCGGATGCGGGAGTTACACTTAAATATTTACAGGTGCTTACGTATTCATATATTATTTAGTAACCTATTACCACACTGGAGGGCGGAAATATAGCGCTGATCGCTTTGAAATGTTCCATGAGGTTCCAGTTATGGTCAAGGACAACGCCTAAAATGTTAGGTGATGATCAGATAATAATTTTTCGGATGAAGTGGACCGAAAACTTAATTATTTGTACTTTTCGAGTCGAAAGCCGAACATCACAACACAACCCACTGTGAAGGGAATCTGGACAAGTAATTAGAGGGGCTGTACTGATTATTAGTAATATTTGCTGACCTCTAGCCAGTCAAAAGTGTGCAAATATCGCGAAATATTGCCACATCTCAGAATTTAAAACCACAGAAAGTTAGATTTTCATGGAAGTTGTGTAGGGTATCGTATGGTCGGCCCCGTCCGACTATACTGCTCCGCTCAGTGAAGTGAATATGTTTTCCCTTCGTTGCACACATTTATTTATGTTGTTTCTATTATTGTTTTTTTTTTCTTTACCGATCGCCATATCTCGACTAGCTGAGTCGATCTAGACATGTGTGTCCGTCCGTCCGTCCGTCTGTCCATTATAATTTGTAAACACGATACAGGCCACAGTTATGGACCAATCTTCACGAAATTTTGGATGTAGGATGGGTTCTGGCCAATGAAGACCCCTATTGTTTTTGGAAAAGATCAGTTAGTATTTAGGGGATGAAATGGACCAAATACTAAATTTTTGTCGGTTTTTCTGGTCGCTTCAGAGGCCGCAATTATGGCCAAAACACCGCGAATTTTTGCATGGAGAAGGGGATCGGGCCAGAGAATAAGCATGCATGTTTTGATAAAGAACGGTCAATATTTAGCGGGTCAAATTGACCCTGACTTTTGTGTGAAAAATGACAAAATTTGTATTCTATGGCATATATATTTACTCCTGGAGGATGTAGACCCCAGGAGTTGATAGCATATCCAAGAGGAGTGGTTGGCGTTTAAATTGATACCAAATATAGTGATGTATCTACTCAGATGTGGGAGTTACAGTCAAATATTTACAGGTGCTTACGTATTCAGATATTATTTAGTAACCCATTACCACATTAGAGGGAGAAATATCGCGCTGATGGCTTTGAAATTTTTCATGAAGTTCCAGTTATGGTCAAGAACAACGCCTACAATTTTCGGTGATGATCAGATTAAAATTTTGGGATGAAATGGACCGAAAACATAATTTTTTGTGTGTTTTTGAGTAGAGTATAATCCGAAAATCACAACACAACCCACCGTGAAGGTAATCTGGACAAGTAATTAGAAGGACTGTACTGAATATTCGAAAAAAGTAAGGAAGAGGTGTTGTTAACCTCTAATCGGACAAGATGATTTGCTATTGGTTATCTTCTTGTCATATATTGTTTCGTCGAGTCAGTAGCAGTTTATGAAATAAGTATGAAAGAACATGGAAAAAGTATGTCGAAATTTTAATTTTGTTTGCAGTTGTGCTGTTTTCAGTATGATGGTGTTTTTTTATTGATTTTATCTCAAGAAAAAAATTTTAGATCTAATTAAGAGGAAAAATATAGCTTAAGAGAGAAAAGCAATATTTCGAATAGTTCACGAGATATAGACTCAATAATAAGTACGTATTATTCGAAAATTGTGCTAAAATCCACTTTCAGTCGAATATTTTAAAAATTAATTAAAAAGAAAACCTTAGCTAATAATGCAAAACCCAGCTAGGGATTTTCTTCCACCATCACAAGCTTCAAGATTTTGGGGGTCCCGATTGGTTCAAGATTTTAGTGCTGCACAGTGTTTTCATTCGAAATAGAAAAACAGGCTGTTATTTTTTTAATATTTTTTACATTATTTACAATCATACAAAACGTTGTTATTATTTGTTTTCGGTGGGAGGGCTCTCGAGTTTCCCTTTTTGAGAAATAAGAACGCGGACAAAATGTTCGAAAAAGAGTAAGTGTTTACTCTAAGAGAGAACGACTAGAAATATAAAATTTATTTTTCCCGATTTGAGTGTTTGTTTGTGTTTCTAGGGTATCAAACGGTTTTCGATGTTGTTGTACTGATCTGGTCATATAAGAAATTTACTTTATACAGTAATATTATTTCACTAGAGGTCAAAATGACCGATTTTAGGCAATATAATTGTAGCACATGTGAATACGTGGAATGAAAGAGGGGAGGAAGCAGCTATTATGATTAATAAACGTAGTTCTATGTGGCACAAAAAGTCACCAAATTTTAAAAAGCTGTGACATAATATACACAATTGTTTTTGTACTTGAAATTGAAAAACGGTCAAAATGACCGTTTTCGGCAATCTAGTGTTAATACCGAACGAGGATTCAGACAAGGTGATAATTTGTTGTGTGACCCTTTTAATATCCTGCTGGCAAAGGTCATACGAGAGGCAAATGTGAACAGAAATTGCACCTTGTACACCAAAAAACACATGTTGGTCGCCTACGCCGCTTTCACTTCCATATAATAACACTGAGATTTTCGTATGGCCATTTAATTTTCCTAAGCAGGATTTCTTTTTATTATTACGAATTAGCTACTAATAAATCTCTCTTCACAAATAAATCCCTGTTTCATCGTACAGGGCGCATCATTCCACTTCAAATTATATGGAGCATAAAGATGAAGACAATGTTCATTTCCTTTGTAATTATCTGGCTGATGTATGCTCCAATCGGCAAATTTCACACGCCTTCCCGTCGTTGACCAATAGAATGGACGATTTTTTTCAGTGATCACTTCAAGGTCGGTGGCACCAATCCATAGAGATGGTAAAGAATCTAAAAATGGAAATAATATTGAAATTATTTAAGCACAAAGTAAACTGGTTCACATACTTCCAAATGCACTTCTTAGCAAGGTATCTAATGCCTTGTTTTTCGCAGCACTTTCAATTTCTACCAAACGCAGACCACGACGTTTACATTCAGCTGAGGCCTTATGCCATTCGTACTAAAATAAATTATAAAAAATAAAGGGGGCAAAAATCACTGACGATATTTTCTTACATTATTTTCTGTCTCAATGAAATATTCGTGCCCATCTTCTGCTTGGAACCAGTCACGCAATGCATCACCGACGCCAATACAAACGCTTGTGAAAATTACAATACAAACGATGAATATTGTTTTAAGCTCCATGTTCACAATGAAATGTAATGATACGTTTTGAAGATGTTTCGCGAGTTTTTATACACTAAAAACAGTTGTGATCAAATTTGATTGATAAAAAATATCAAATGTCATAAATATGTTTATTGCCAATTATTGCGGTAGATAGAAATATCTAACATTTTTTAATCAAGAGTGTTCATGTATTGTTTTAAAGATATTTATATCAGTGTTCGACATTGAACTTGAATTCGTATACTCTCCACCATAAGATAGTGTTATACCCTATACCCAAACTATAGGGTATTATTTCTATGTGTATATTTGTATGCAAAATGAAACGAAGTGGTTCCATACCTACTTTCCATTTGTGCATGTCCGTCCGTCTCTCGATGTTAAATAAGATGAAATTTGGCACAGGTAATTTGGCCCAAGGAAGATGATGGTCATTAAAAAAATTATTTCACAAATCCACGCCTTATGATGGTCCTTGAAAAAATTATTTCACAAATCCAAGCCTTATAATGGTCCTTGAAAAAATTATTTAACAAAGCCACGCCTAATGATGGTCCTTGAAAATATTATTTCACAAATCCACGCCTTATGATGGTCCTTGAAAAAATTATTTCAATAATCCACGCCTTATGATGGTCCTTGAAAAAATTATTTCACAAATCCACGCCTTATGATGGTCCTTGAAAAAATTATTTCACAAATCCACGCTATGTGATGGTCCTTGAAAAAATTATTTCATAAATCCACGCCTTATGATGGTCCTTGAAAAAATTATTTCACGAATCCACGCCTTATGATGGTCCTTGAAAAAATTATTTAACAAATCCACGCCTTATGATGGTCCTTGAAAAAATTATTTCACAAATTCACGCCTTATGATGGTCCTTGAAAAAATTATTTTCAGAATCCACGCCGTATGCTGGTCCTTGAAAGAATTATTTCACAAATCCACGCCTTATGATGGTCGATTTGAATACATGTAAAAAGTCTTATAATAATGTCCAAAAAATGTAAAGATTTCTTTAATGCTACAACTATTATCCTACTTCGCTCTACTTTACCTCTCTCTTTGTCCCTCCCTTTCTCTCTCACTCTCTCTCTCTCTCTCTCTTTGACAAAAATAAATGTATTCCTCCTACTCATTTTTCCGCTGGGTTCTCTGGTTAGTTGGTGTTTCTTATTTTTGCAACCATTTATTTGACTATTGGGTCTATTTGACTATTGGGCTAACGGCCGCTAACTTTTCACTCACTCATTTGTTACTAGTATTACATTCCATTGTATCATTATTCCAGACACTCTTATGAACGTCTTCATTGGTGTTACAAAATTCGCATATGTATTTTCCAAATTATTTCGATAAAAATGCTAAATACAATATGTCAAACAAGTATTGAAATGAACAACAAGCCCACTCACTATTCATATCATATATAAATTATTTTTTCTGTGTAGACGGCACAAAGGTCTAATAGAAGACCAAATGGTCAGAAGGTCCAGAGGTCTTATAGGATGGAAGTTTAATTCACATTTTTATTATTTGATTTAATAAGTAACACTTTATTAAAAAATAAAACTACGAACCCAATAATCGATTTATTTCATTAGTGTTGCTGGTCAGAGCATTTGCAAACTTCGATGTCAATTCATTTAATGAATTTTCACCCTGACTTTGAGAACTAAGAATAGTTCTTTGAGTTTCCTCGGATATTCTGGATAATTCAGCTTCCTTTTCTGTCACTAACGTAGTAAACATTTTAATGTAATCTGCCATTATAGACGACAGGAATGAATTCTTGTTCAATATATTCTCAATAGACTTTTTGACATCGGCAATTAAATCATTCGTTGACTTTTGTTGTCTCTCCAAAGCGGATAGTGTTGTCTGAAGTATATTCTCATTAGCTTGTCTCATTTTACTTTGCAAATTCGTAAATTCGGCAGATATTTTTTGATTGGCTTCGAATATCGTTTGACGTTTATTGTTATCAGAAGAATTCTGAATGGAAGTGGATGTCTCACATATGAAGGCATTTTTCGTGGAACAGTCGGCTGCAATCCATTGTAAATTGTGGTCACTTGAAATCTGACCACAATGTCCTTGGGCTTGTTGACTAGATATTCCACTGGTATACCAATCTTTGTAGTTGATTTGTAAACCCGTTGATATAGAGTAAAATGGACGATTATTATCCATAGATGTACTGAAGCCATCGTGGTAACCTAACCAAATATTTTTGGAACCGCCTAGAAAAAACGATTTTTAAACAAATTAGAATCTGTTGTCGACATTTCGGTCGATGCTATTTTTTAACATAATATCGCTCATTTGATCCAAGCCCGGGATTAATAAAAATAAATATTTTTGAGTTAATAGTGCAGAATTGGTCGCTATATCAGATGCCATGTGGAGCAAAATATGCAGATGGATATCTCTTACACACAGTGATTGAGAAAATGTCGAAATTGCTCTGCTCCATTTATCTATAGAAAACTTCAAAAGCATTTTCTGAAATCGATTTTTTTATTTATACCGGTCTTGCAGCAAATGAGCGATGAAAAGTTCTTACCCCAAATTTTCTGCAAAATATTTTTGATTTGCGCATTTTTGTCATAGCTATCGATTTCCAAAATTTGCAATCCTCTACGTTTACATTCGCTGTTAGCCTGTAGCCAATTTAACTAAAAACAAGAACAAATGCTTTAAAATAAAAAAAATCACTTTTTTCAAATTTGCGTACATACCTTAGTGTCAAGTTCGATGAGATATCGTTTGCCATTATTTGCTGTATACCATGTGGGACTTGCAATGCACAATTTTACAAACGTAATTGTTATAAAAATCGCTTTAGTATATCCTTGTAAGTTCTTCATCTTGCCGAATGTTCTTGTTAACTAATATTTGGGAACTGTAATATATATTCGCAAGCAACCGTTGGACAGTATCACATTTTATCTTTTTTTATATGTTTACATACTTCAGAATTTCTAAGTTGATTTATAATATTACACTGTGTAACAAATAAATTAAAATGTTCACATTATCTTAGCAAAAAGTTGAGGGATATTATTATTTCCTTACCAAAAACAAGAAGAACTGGTGACTAGAATATCACGTCGCCTGCAGGATCACAACACAGTACTGCAGACTAAGTTTTCGAACTATAATGAATTATCTTAAGGGGACCTACCATTTTAGATTTGAAATTTTATATGTATTTGAAGACTTAAAGGATAAAAAAATTTGATGATACAATTTTGTTTAAAGTTTGAGAACCGCTCTTGTCGGTGCACCATTTGCATGAAATTGGACGAAAATATATATGGGAGCTATATCTAAATCTGAGTTTGCTGCACCATTTATACAAAACCGAACGAAGCTATATATATATATATATAAATCTGAACCGATTTCAATGAAACTTAAAACATAAATTTGGGACTTTGGTGCACCATTTACAAAAAATCGGACGATGCTATATATGATAGCTACATCTATATCTGATCCGATTTCAATGAAACTTAACACAATCTATCCTAGTCTCAATTTCATACGTTATGTAAAATTTTGCTTCAAAAAATCGGATGAAGCTATATAACGGATCTATATCTAAATCTGAACCGATTTTTTCCAATATCAATAGGGTTCGTCCTTGGGCCAAATAAATGGGCTGTGCCAAATTTCATCCAATTCGGATTATAAGTCCGACCTGTACTTTGCTCACAAAAATACATGGACGGACGGATAGACAGACATGCATAAATCAACTCAGATATAATATGAAAAAGGAACCATGTGTCTATTTCGCTTCTTTTTGCCTGTTACAAACATATGAAGGGTATAACAAAGCCTGTATAATGTTTGAGGATAGAGTTTCTTCAGTCTAATCCGTTTGCATCTCCCCCCACAAAGGGTCAACATTTTGAAAATATAATTTGAAACTATTTAGTTGCAATATAGGAATCATCGGTCCAACTTAAAATTTTGAAATTTTCAATTGAATGGAGTGTCCGATTGATCCAAGCTTTACACGTCACAATGTTGTTACTAAAACTAGATCAAGTCCGAAAATGGGCCTATCGGTGCCACAAAGGCTAAAATTCTAATAATTTTTATTATAAAAGATATGGGGTATCCGATTTGATCCATTTCAGAAAATATAGAGTTGAATGCATTAAGCAGGGCACGGCCGGCCAAAAGGCGCTGGTTTGAGTATGAAATTTGTAAGTACGCAATGATTTGTCTTCTATTGTTCGATTTTCTCTGAAGACTTTATGCCAGGCATGCTTACCCATATACCCTACCATAGTTGGGCAGACTTGCACACCAGCGGTGATGCATTCTCTTAACATATTTTGATGTTAAAACAAAAATAACACATAATGAAAAATTTTCCGCAATTTTTTAATAAATTTATTGTTTTAACTTCCTGGGATGTTATTTACGCTTTAAAAATATTAAATTAAATAAATTCCGCAAAATAATTCTTGTTTTAATTTTCCCTTAAACATTTTTTAAGAGACATTTTGCCCACCATTGTACCCTACCGTAACTGAGCATCCATGGTTAAACACGCATTCTCATTTTTTTCTCTCTTCGTCAGTCGTTTTTATACCCTTCACCACACTGTGGTACAGGGTATTATGTCTTTGTGCATATTTTTGTAACAGGCAAAAAAAATTTGGCACAGGGTAATGAATAAATTCACGAATGATGTGTGCAAAGTTTCGCGAAAATCAGTTCAGATTTAGATATAGCTCCCATATATAGCTTCGCCCGATTTTAGGTAAATAGTCCAATAAAGTCCTTGGAAATCTTTTGACTTGCAGGAAATTTGGCACAGCGTAAAGAATAAAGTCTAGAATGATGTTTGCCAAGTTTCGTGAAAATCGGTTCAGATTTAGATATAGCTCCCATATGTATTTTCATCTGATTTTAAGTAATTGGTGCACCAAAGACCCTATATATCATTCGATTTTCACGAATTTTGGTATAGGGTACTGAATTCAGTCTA